TATTGGTTGTCGGGTGGTCCATGCCTTCCATTGCTCTTAGGACTCTTAGGTCTTTATAATCATAACACATTTTATTACCCTTCATTTTATGATTTTGATTCTCATCATCTCATTACTCATTCTAAGGTCTATTGTATTTTAGAAGAAGTGTGTTCGCTGGCCATTATATTATTTAGAAACTCAACCATATCTAACTTGATTAATAAATTCATAAATGATGCTTGCCACTGCAGTTACAGAGTAAACAAAAGATAAGGAGTAATAATACTCCCTGTATATGAAACACCTTACTACTGTAACTAAATCCATATGATTATCCAGAGAACTAACTATAAGCTAATGTAAATGCACATCCGCCAGTCCAGGAATGGTGCTACTTACTACACATAAATCACACCAGTTTAATTTTTAGACATCCTCCTTGGTAGTGCCATAGACACAAGAGCAAAGGTGACAGAGCAAGATATGAATTGAAAGAAATTAAGGAGCGCATGGGATTTTTCAATCTCTTTTCCTTTTATTTTACAACAATAAAATGGGAAAAGAGGAAAGAAAGAAAAAGAGAAGCAGTCACATGTAACATTATACATCTGATGTCTTGTCTTCTCAAAATACCATGTCTGCGATCCAACCACATCATTGATTTATTCTTCTATTATCAGCTGTTCCAGATGACTCAAATGGTTAAGTTTGGCTCAGAAAGCATTGTTTGGCGAGTTATGGCACACGGACATCGACTGTGGTGTGGACCTGTGGAGTGGTTTCGATTAAGACTTGCCAGCCTGATTCTATTTATCCTGTATGGAGTCCATATTCAAAGTTTATCCTTCCAGAGCTCAATATAATAGGGCCAAAAATGTGAAATGACATCAGGATAGGAGAGGCGCAAAGGTGGAATGTTTGCGATTCGGCGAACCCAAAGAATTGGATTCAGACAACCTGCATGCCAGGAGCAGGGCTAGATTTGAATTACGAATATTCCTTACACCAGATAAGCCTAGGTTTTGCCGCACCTGCTGGACCAGTATCCAGGGGAAGAGCCTCCTGAGGTGAAGTCTGTATATCAAGAGTTCAACATTTATCACTGGCTGCTAAACACAAGGACCAACCATGGCACAAGCTGGGGGAGGCTCCGATGGACTTCACCATTATTAAGAACTCTATACTTCAAGTGGTAGCTCTTTGTTGATGGTGCATAACATTGTGAAAAATTAAGATTAGAATAAAGAGAAGATATGTACGTGAATTCATAGTAACTACTTGTAGCTCTGGAGAGCCACCTATTATTTGAAGTGTCTCGGCTGACTGATGAATATCAGAATGGAATTCAACCTTTACTGTCGGAAACCCCCTGTCAGCCAAAAATCATGTATTATCAGCATGAAGCTTGTGCAGAATGGAGCCAAGGCTTCTCAGAATAAAAATGTTCAGGAGAGAGGAGTAATGGTTATCCTAGCGGCGATCTCCAGTCCCGTGCTCTACAGCCACCACCTGCCACTGAATTGCTTGCCTGTGTGCTCTCTCGCTTTCTAGCCGTTCGGTTACTATGGAAAATGTGGGCCACGAAAACCTGGATGGCAATCATAGTACGTAGGTAGCTCCGGTGGAGTAGACTAATGTGCCTCATAGTCCGGAAGTAACACGGAGTCGACTGCCTTCGACGAGTCTAGTATTACCCCAGAGGCTGAATTCGTGACAGTCAGAAGAGGCTGGTTGATGAGATCTTTCCGGTCCCAAAGGCTCTTCCTAGGAATGAACTCGGAGTTCGAAGTTTGTTTGCAAGGCATGCCCTGCAAGGATGAGCAGAGCACTCATATTATTTGCGGGCCTAATTATACTCCATCTACAACATGACAATGCAGTGTAGCTCCTTCAATATCTACCTACAGAGTAAATGTTACTTTATATCCGGTACACTTCCTTTAGCATTAGCTTGGCCCCATTCTTACAATGGACTTTGACAGGTATTTGTAACACGATGTGTATTTATCCTTGGAGATGAAGCAAAGAAATCTTGGTTTGAAAAATAGCACAAAGATTTGCCATATTTTGATGTATATAGGGAAGACTAGGGTAATCCATTCAGACGATCCAGCACTAGACAACCTTGTTAAGCATTCATAGTCAGCTGTACTCCGTAATATTTTGAATAATCCATAGATTAAGAAAATGAGAAGCATAAATTAACAACCACTGTTCTCTGACATAATAGTCTCAGAAGCAAGAAGATAGTATGACCCAACTTCAGAATGGCATATAATAATACCTGCCAGGTTGAAAGGAGAACTCACAAGCAAATGATTCTCCCATTGATCTCCGGGGTTGAAACTGCAACTAATTTCTACGTAGGCTGGTCATCTAGCAAGCGGAGATATCTTAGCCTCGGGCGGTTCGACCAATTGCCAGCGAATCAAATGGTTTGCAAATCTCTGAAAGGCTGATACATCGTTACTAGCGACTACGAACATGAGGTCCGAGCTCACCTAAGGTAGGCGATCAAATTGCAGTACGTAGTAATAAGAGTGGAACATGAAGAATAAAACTTACCACTAAGTGATTATTTCTTGCTACTTGCAAGCTCTTGCTAAGTTGCTGATGCCATAAGCAGACCATCAGCCTTAGAGCAGTGTGGCTGCAGATGGTAATATAACTTTCTGCAAGTGGCTCTAATAGGATACTTGCTAACGACCAAAATCTTTTTCTCCTCTGGTACTTTGTGAGACCAAAGTCATGCCAGATGATACAGATTGATGGCACGAGCATCTGCAATTCTACCCTCAAGTAGTAGGAGGATCGACAATTCGAGCAAGGTAAGTTCCACGTCTATGTGGGCAAGGTTATGGCTGTAAACTTGATTCTGATGGAGCTGATGGTAATATGAGCGTTCACAAGAATGCAATAATCACCCCAGCAAATGGGCATATGGCGATATTATCTTTGAACACCTTGACATCCGCCATGGACCGTGCACGGTTTCAGACCTATAGAACTTTGATCCTTTGTGTATGACATAATGAGACAGCTCAAATCATTCTTCTGTTGCTACATGTTTACCATGACTTTTTCGAACCATTCAAGAGGCAACGGCGAGTAACAAAATAGCAGTTAATCTTCAACGGTAATTATCCATACTACTACCAGTCATGCAGCCGAGTTACCTCACTTAACTTAAGAGGGTCGAAGTTGCAAGCGGCACAGATCATTACTACTTTGGCTTGCCTGCATGCCATTATCACCAGCACGCTAGCCTGGTGCAATTTCGTTTCTCTGAGCTTGATTAGTGAAACAAATACATATCTCGGCTGCACGGACTCAGACTGGGGCTGTCTTGGCCTCCCCACAGAGCCCACCCTCACCCGGGAATGGCCGAGGATCAATATGCACCTAGCCCAAGCTGTCCTACGATAGCCTCCTAGCCTGTACTTATTGTACTCTGAGGCAACAAGATACATAGTTAATACGGACAGCATTACCTATACCTACCTATGTGCTTCGTTCTCTGTACTCCGTAGATAATGCCTATATCCTACTCCATGCTACGGAGTGCTGATGTAATTTAGTTTTATGTCAGATACCTAATTAATACCGAGTCATCCTTGTACTATGTACTCCAATACCATTCACTAGAAGGTAAATGCTATCTATCTCTTTGCGTGCTCCCATTACAGATAATTGTCTATAACTATTAAAGGGGATGTCCTTCACGATGACAAGCCTTTCAGATCCACGCAGTATGTATCTGCGTATCAGCATACACACTATCTATTACTACAGTATTCTGCAATCTCCACCTGCTATGATTACACAACACGTCTACAGATGACATTCATTTAGTTGGAGCGAGTCTCAGTGGGCCCCACACTGGAATCTGGATCCTTCAGGCGGCAGAGACGACGTTTTTCCCGCTGGTGGACTGGCCCCGTAGCTTCGTCTAGCTAGAAAGGGAAACGGGCAATGGTGCGCATAGGGGCATGACATGCAGCTCGTAATGTCGATCAAGACGGAAGCCGCTCTTCATTGCTGATAATTGCACGCTTGAAATATATTACAGTCTCTGCTGACGATTGACCGAAACACAATAAGGTAATGGCCTGAGTCTCTTGATTTATCTGGATGGATATTGTGACGATGTCCAGGTAGGTAGCTAGTTGTAAGTTGAACATTGTGGGATAAGATATTTTGTCAACAAAATCTCAGTCCCCTACTTATCCAACGCTCGTATAACATAAGCGAATCTTTAATCAGTCTAATAGATGACTTCAAGTTTGACCATAGTGTATATCTGACAGCACTAGGCTACATTTGCATGTAGATAGATGTACGATTCCGTTGCCCTGTCATTATTGCACCTTTTTGGGAATAGCCTATGCCGGACGGACGTATTGGATAAATGAAAATGGTAAGTGACAATCCTGACAACTCTCGCTATACCAACATTGGGATATTATTTAGTCAGCATCATTATGAATTGACAAAGTGGGAACTCTGAATTATCCTCCCATAGGTTTCTTGAGTGTACGGTCCTCAACTGGCAAGCTACTGGTGGAATTTATATCATTAATGAGTCTTAAAGCAAGTGTGATATTGGATCATGATGCAAGATACCTGTACATGCTATAGATAAGCGCAGATATAATATACTAGGCACCTGGGCTACAGCCTCCTAGGTTGCGAGCATCACCAAGGTAAAAGATGGTTCTTATTTCTTCACTCTACATTGTGAAGAGCAAGTACTACTCATGTATAGCATCACAGACACCTACAAAAGCTGGATTGCGGAGGGCAGTGGAGGCTTTATCCTTCTTTCCTCTTCCTTAGAAGCCTTATTATCTCAGAAATTGGGCCACATACACCAGACAATACTGTTACTATATTATTGCCAGTAAGGGTTATCTTAAACACCTATTCTAAGTAGCCCTAGAGCACTAGGATCTAATGCGATTCGGGAGAGTTTTCACCATATTAAGGAAAATTATTCGATGAATTTTTGCCACAGAACTGCCCGAATAGTCCAGGGGTAAGATTCATCCTTCGGGGTTTTCACTTCGGCTCTCAAAAGAGCTCTGTATGGATGAGACCCGCGTTCGAATCGCGGTTCGGGCCCTTCTTTATTTTGTTTTCCAATTTTTCCCTTTTCAATTTGCCTCTTCATCTTTTTGAGCGATATATGCCATCCCAATGTAGTATTCCCTTTTTATCAATCTTCTTTGCATAAACCAAGTTTCCTGCATTAGTTGAATATGATCATGGTAGCGCTTCGACAAGTCTTGTATGTAGTAAATTTGAACGACTAGTGGTATGGTTGACTAATGGCCCTTAACTCAGACAATGGATAAAATTATGCCGTATTGGGGCTCGAGTCACGACCAGCAAATTACGCGGCTGAAGCATAAAATACKGGGCAGCTCGCAGCCAACTCACAACCTCAGGGAGAAAGTTATGATAAGTACCTACGGAGTACTTTGTACTGCCCGCTCTGAACAGTATCTCCCACTCAGCTACCTCGATGAGAGCCGTAGCTTTTGGTTCGCCAACCGTCGGTGCACCATCGCGCGACCGCTCGTGCCTTGTGGTCTTAGCAAATGATGGACTGTCTTTGGCTGGCAACTCATATCGGCGAGACACTAGTGCAGTTCGCATTCGGGATCTTGTACCGCTAGATTCGAAGGCCAGAATGGGGTGCTCTCTCAAATCAATGTCAAGACCGGAATGTCAACCATTGGGACACCATTCCTGATATGTCTCCGTAATATTGCTGGCCCTCCTGTTCTTGCTTGGGCCATTGATTAAATACATGAGCGGCGATGGTGTGGACCATATTGTATCAACAGAGTACACAGTAGATTTTGTGACTTGGCCTCACTTCATTTAGCTACCTAATTTGTCCATTTTCGACCTGCTATTATTCCCATCGCAAAAGATCCGAGGTTCCTATATTACGCACACGACGAGAATGTTTACTAGTTGCTTATGGTCCTGCTACTCCATAGTCTAGATGCCTTAGTCCGTCGACTCCGTACTGACTAGAGAGGTACTGCAGTCTGCTTTCAAGCTAGCTTAACTAGCCTGACTCCGCCGTCAACTTAGCTTGTTGACTTGATAGTTGATTATCACCGGTGGATAAAACCAAGAGGCACTGGGTATTATTTTACAAACTAATGACCGTTCTCTCAGCATTAGATGGAGACATTGGCCGGGAGTCCCATTGGCAATCTCCTTCCGCGTTCTTTGTCCTAGCCTGAAGTACGTGACTCCCTTTGGAAGGTATTAGAGACATCACCTTACACTGAACTTCGAGCCGAGAGGTGCGGAAAATATCCGAGCTGTAGTCCTTTTGATCGAAACTCTGTAGCTACAGCCCCACAAGCATTTCAGGGAAATAGTCATTATGGTTGTGTACTGGAGGCTATCTACTCGTTATTTGAAGACAATAAAAATAGTAGGTTGGCCACATCAGGTCAGGCTTACAGGAAAAGATACACCCAACAATGCAATGATGATCCTCCTTACTGTACTCTATAGACTTGCTCCTTCAAGATACTGGTTATTGCAAATGCTCTAATAGTCAGCAAGCAGTATCCAGCACGTCACATCGCCTAGTAAACATTGGTTTTGTACTGGGTCCCTCTTCAGTTTTCGTCCCCTCCTCACTTGAAGAGGGCCAGTGAGTCCGAGAGCCATGAAAAAAAAAATATAGGAAATCAAACGCGTGAGGCTTTGATTGAATCTTAGCAGTACGTCAACCCAACGCTCACTGTGTCAAAATGGCAAATAATCACCAATCACACCTAGGAGCAAGACAACTGATGATGTTTAGGGCGTGCTTTCCACAAATTGGCATCACGACTCGAATGAGATGCATGTCAGGCATGGAAGGTTCTTTGAAATTCCGGGCCCGGACTCCATATATTATGTGTTCACTAGGTCAACGAGAGGAGTCCCACTATGAGCAGCTCATCCACAAAGGTAGAACATGACATCAGCATTCTGCTGTCTCTGCCGGCAGGTAAGGTATCAGCAGGTTTGCCTATAGGCGCACTGGTGTTGCTCAGGCCCTGCCAACATCGGTCTATGAGGCAGTAGCGGAAATGCAGCTCATGCTTCCCCCCGAAGCACTAATGCGTATACGAAAAAGGGTGCATCCTGGCTCATGTCCTATGAAGTCTTCTAGAAGTTCTTGTCCTCGGCAATTACTCCACATCCAGCCCCTACGGCTCCAACTCTGAAACTCTAACCCCCCTATATCAGCTATATCATCATATCGATTTGACATTAGGTTGCTCAGTACTTTCAGGAGAAGTAGAGGAGATTTTGCTGAGAAGACTCCTCCAAGACTCCTCCATGCTTCTGTCCGCGCCCCTTGGGCGACCAATGCAGAAAACGTAGAATAAGTAGTCCAGGCTGCCCTGTTTGACAAGCTTCTTGAGCTTTGCAGTCTCATGGCACGCACTGACTGGAAGAGTATCCCATTGTGTATCAAAATGTTGAAACATATCGCTCAGTGTTATAAATGGATCATCAGCTATCGCTCTCAGTTACCAGAGTGAGGGAACATATCATGACCCATTGCTAGGCTTCCATAACCAGCCAGCGGGATGAAAACAGACTTCGAAGTCGACTCCACCAAAGAGTCCTATKGCACCATATAAGTCATAGTCTCCTTCCAATCCCTCAACGCCTCCAGCCTCCTCGTCGACTTCTTCATGGAGGTCCCAGCCTCCTTCTCTCTGCCCATTTCTAGTAAAGAAGACATCGACTTGAAGTCTCTTACACCCGGTTCGCGAAGCACCATTTAGATGTTCTGGAAGACGAAGGACTATCCCCAGACCGACAGTATCATTCACATTAAAGGCGTTTGTGAATTGCTTCCCTCCCCACGAGTCATTCACGAAGCGACAACCGTCATCAGAAAAAACAGCAAGGCTACCCCTTTCCCAGCCGGGAGACCGSCAAGAGGGATAAGGCTGCGCGACAAATCCAATAGAAAACCCGCTCGAATCAGCAGACCCAGTCCCAGGCCCGGTACGGAGACCAAGCAATTTGACCTCGAAATATATAGTCTTGCTCTTTTCGGTGATATAAGGGGAATCATTAACCGGAAAATAAAGAGGTAGGCTTGTGGTAATTATGCAGTCACCGTTCCCGTTCGTTGTAGAACCCTTCCATCGACCCGGGTATGGGACAGTAAGGCTACCATGAAACTCATTCGACTGTACAGGGCGGAGGTCATATCTCTGTACACAGTCGTAGACAGCAGCCGAAGGCTTTGCCGGCGGATGCAAAGGCACCCTGTCGCAGAATTCATGAGCGCGCTCTGCGCCATCACGGGATGCATTGCCAGCATTTGAACAGAAATAGCCTGTCACCGGCGGCGGAGGCAATGTTGCTGTGTCAGGCACCAGTTCCTGCCAGTTGTGGTATGGAGGAGGAGCAAGCTCGGCTCGTCGGCTATCCTTTTGCCCAGGATGCCATGCTGCTTGGGAAGCATGATAGCTTGGAGGTGGTGCCTGGTAGTTGGGGCGATCGCTCATAGTAAACAGACCACCGAGGGAATGTCTTTCGCAAAATAATATCCTTCCCAGTCGGACCTTTTTGTGCGGGCGGAAAATAATTGTTCTTCTCTAGTAAGTATAGAGAGGGTCACACGCTGATGATAGACAGCGACTCGGCTGGGTTGGCGAGGCTTCTGTAACAGTTTGACTTTGCTGAGTGCTGCCAAGTGTGGCTATGCTTGGTACAATCCAGATGATCGGACTCCGTATACAATGGTTTCAATGAGGAAAAGTAGCCGACATCGATGAGAGAGGTAAGAGCTGAACCTATGAGTACTCTGCCACCATGCCTTCTGCTTGCTCACATTATGCCATCAAAGGAAGTTTCTCTCTCGGATTTTTATCAGATCAACCTTACGGTAGTTAGAGTGAGCCACCTATCCATGGAACTGCACTGGTAAGGCCCGAGTGGGAACATATCAGTCCATGAATTGATCCTCCTCCATTCTCCACTTCACGACCTTGGTTGGGAATGAACATCAAATTTAGCTCGCTTGTGCGGTAGCTAATGGTAGTATTAATATGAAGCCGTAGCTTAAGTCATTGTCGCGAGCAGGTATGATCAACAGAAACACCATTTTTCACTTTCCTCGCTCATCACCGTCCCCCCTTAGATGTCGTCGGGGCTCGAATGACTCTTCAATATCTATGATACTACCGCCTTCGAGAGGGTCAGCTTTATGCATAAACAATAACAAACTCACGTTCCTAAGTCACGGAGTACGGAGTACAGAAAGCCTTGAGGGCCTATCTCTAAGGCTGGGGGAGGTAGCTTAGACTCTTTCCCCTCTCTCCAATCAAATCAAATCATCACATGCGGCTGCAGTATCGGGCAAATTTGAGGCTGGTCCAGTCAGGACGGGTAGCAGTTCACACTCAAAAAACATGAGGTCTCGTAAACTCTCAACCCGGGGGTGTCGAACTCGCCTTTTCGCCATCTCGAGATATTTCAAACCAGAAGAGTCGTTTTAAACTGGTGCACATTGTCTGCCATTTCAGGCTCTCGCTGATGTTACTCGTTCAATGACGAAATCAAGAAATTCTCGTCTTTTCTTGGGTGCTTGAAGAGTGCGTTTTTCTTTTTCTTTTTCTTTTCTTTTTTTTCAAACTATGTTCATGGACAATCTCATGCAAATCTGCCAGTCTAAGCTTGAACGGATAGCTTGGGGAGACTTCCCTGCCATCAGATTCTGATCTAACGCTTCGCCATACGTGACAGGGCTCCGCATTGTTTGTCCCACTGTTGGTTAGAAGAGCATCAGTGAGAATGGAACAGAAGGCCCAGAATAAGAGAAGACGCCGCTCTTCAATAACTCAGCAACTTCACCGGATCTTCAATGTTGACAGGGAGGAATTTGTGAGTCCACCTGCTTTTTGACTATTTCTTCTTAATCCTGCGTGGTCCTGTGATGTGGGCTAGGGTGTATGCATTGGTCGACCTAGATCAGTCAAGGCATTTAAGAGCCTCATTACTGACATCTTGAAGCAAAAGCAGCGAGAGTCCCGGCATGTTCCTTCAAACGCAAGTGCAAGCGCTACGCCTGATCAGCATTGGCAGCATAGGAAAGAAGGGACTGACACTACATCATATCACAATGGCCAGTACAACAATCAGTCTTCTCACCAGCCTACGAAGGGGAGTCCTGATCTGGGCGATTTGGATTTTGCCCAGGCATGTGGTGCGGCGTCCGGAGAACCGCAACTTCGTCCTGGACGCCAGAAATCCTCGACAGGATTAGAGCATGCTGTAGAGAAAGCCCAAGGCTTTTTTAGAACGCCCGAAAATGCTGTTCGGCTTATTGAGACATCTACTGCTCAAAATGTGACCAATAGTGTCTCGCAAAAGAAGGAGAAACGAGTCACGCGACGCCTGGAAGCAGAGAGGATAGAGCTTGAGAAACGACTCTCGAAGCTCGAACAGACACAATTGGCAGGGAACCGCAATTCACTGAAAAGGGAGACTCGTCGCCTGACAAAGAAGCAGCCCCTTGGTAGCTCTAGCAGGGGCTCTAGTGTGAGTGCTGACGAATCTCGGCCTTCTTCGAAGCGTCTTTCTGCTTTGTTCTCAATATCCAGGCGTACATCAATGTCGCGATCAAGCTCTGTAAATGGCAGGAATGGCGAAGAATCAACAGATAGCGCACCTATTCCAACGGAAACACCGGCGGACGATGTTTCAACCTTGCAGGTCGCTAAACCCTCTTTATCCACAAGTTTGCCGGAGCGATTTAGTGCAGTAATATCAAAAGGGTTAGTTGTTGGGAACAATGCTCTGCTTCAAGACCAGACGCCACTGGCGCAGTCCTCGCCATCACCACCAGCAACCACAACTGCAACGAACCAATCAGAGACACTAGAAGTGAACGAAGAACGCTCCTTACAGAAGCCTGAACCAACATTAGACCATGCGAAGCACCAGATCCACGATTATGGCGAATCGTCAAAGTCACATAGCTTACACGCGTCGCCTGATTTGGACCGGATATCCTTCGCAGCGACTCTACACCTCGCAAGAAGGGCTCGAGATAACAATCAGCTCCAGGGCCGGTCACCAGGCACGGTTCAGCACCCACCGCTTGTTCAGAGGGATGTAACACAGAATGGAAAGCTCTACGACTCGCAAACTCCTGGGTCATCAAAGATGGGCGCAGTTTCTCAACCGAACCCAAGTGCAGTTGAGAACCCAAGCAGCTTACCAACTAAGGCATCAGTCAAGTCTGTTCCCAGGAGAACTTTCAAACCATCCCCCCTTGCAGGTGACTCGACAAGCCGCGGGAGTTCTAAATCACTTGCTGGAAACTCCAGCGCTTCGCGTTTGCGCAATTCTGGAGGATCCAGTGGCGCGAAACGAACTCCATCCTCCCCATTGGTGACGGTTGCAACGAGCATGTCTCCTGCTGTGGGATCTTTACAATTCTTACAACCTTTAATCAATAGCCAATCGGAGACAGAAAGGGAAGGTAAGGCACTAGATGCCGCCTCTGAACGTACGCCCAAATCGAACAATTCTGCAAACACACGTGTCTCGAAAGAACAAGAAGCCCTCGATTACGTTTCTTCGCAACACCTACGGACCCGTCATTTGACTCACAGCTCAGCAACGATTTCATACGCCCCACAACTGTCTGTGAAGTCACGAATTCAGGCTTCAACTAATGACAAGAATATTAATCATTCGAGCCTGAAACATAATCGCCAAGAAGAAGCTACAGCTATTCATGGTTCCCAAACAGCGAGGGTCAACCAGGATATACCTCCCCTGCCAGAGCACAAATTAGCTGGAAGACTTGATGCCCAGCAATTTGCAACTCCAGGCAGCGCATCTTCACGAAGCTCATCTCCAGAGCCTTGTTCGGAAGACTACAATACTGCGGATGAAACAGGATCGATAGGATCTGTACCCCGAGGCAATAATGACTGCTTGGATGGTAAGTGTGCGGCAGCATCTGGGCCCTGTTTTGTGCAGAATATGGTCGAATCGAACGATTCCACCACCCGTGCGAGCAGATTCTCAGATGTCGCGGTATCCAAGGTGGGCGACCCGCACGGTGGCAGGTCGACCACAGAGACAGGAACCTGCAAAAGGAATCAGTCAATCACCAAGACTTTTGTGATCTGTTGCTCATGTAAATACTGGCATAATATGCCGCCTGAGATTTATTCGAAGGTCGCCAGTCCAGATACTTGTTCGGTCCCTACCAGAAATGGCCTTACTCTTCTTGGTCGCAGTTCATCTTTCGCCGGTCGAAAGGCAAGCCGGAAATTAACTCGCAGTACCCAGATTAAGTCTGCATTATTGAACGAGCGACCTGCCAACGAGAGGGCCACACTGGGATCGGAAACAAGATCTCGATTTGCTGACCCCCCCTTACGGTGCTGTTGGTGCGACCATCCCATGAGCAGGCTTTGTTGTGAAGGATGGACTACCACGGTCTACAAGCACGAGAGACAGTTTTGAGTCATTAGTTGCTTCTACCTGACTTCTCCATCATTCTTCCCTGTGACCTTATTTCCCAGTAACCCATTCGAACTAAATGTTGTTTACTTGGTTGGCATCGCCTGTGCTGACTGACAACCAGTTGAAACTAGACAAAGCTCGATAGACTACCTGCACCCTGAGTATGATTCCCCATCTATCTGGTAAACTTCTTCACGCCTCAGGATCTCGCTATTCTCAAGTATGCATAGAAGGGTGAGAATGGCCATGGAAATGACAAAGCGAGAATTGGAGAATAACATCTTGTACTGTCTGCCACTTCCATGTGACGTAGTCTTCATATGCCTCGAAGGCTCCATTGCCAATACGAAGCATCCCACATGTCAGCCTGAGGTATGACCTCGGCCCTCAGCCTGTCATCGCAGTTCTGGGGGGGGTCGTCGAATATATCAACGCAGACAACTGCAACTCGATAGGTGACTATCAGAGATCATTCAACACTTCTCACAGCCCTGAGAATAGAGCGAGCGTTCTTGTATGCCTTTATTGGCCCATTTCTTGGTGAATCCCGTTTAAGACCTGGTTCATACCACTAAGCCTATTGGCAGCCGATACAGTATAGGGTATAGACAACGAGAAAGGGAGCACTATTCGGAGAGAACTGATCTCATCTTTTAAAGCGTAAAAGCTTCTGCCGTACATGAGAACGATGATTTACGACTGCGTATATGAGGTGAGTTGCCTTACAGATGAAGCCGAGTGCTTAAACCGGGACATGGGTCAGTTGAACTTAGCGGCCTTCTACCTATGATCTAACTTGTAGTCCCGTGCCCCCAAAATTCAGAGTTAATCATCGACTTTAAATACCCCTTAACCGAAGTTCCAAAAGCCTTTCCCAAAGAAAAGAAACAAAGACCACGCCAACGAGCATTTGCGCTCTTTTTCCTTTTGGCTCTCTTCAGCGCGCTCTTGATCTCCTCATACTTGAACCCATGGCGCGCCAAAGAGGTCTGTCGAATGCTTCTTCGTCACCTTCTCTTCCCGATGGAAATCAGGTACCCGGGGAACTTTAGACCCTTAGTGCTCAATGAAGACGTATCAACTAACGCTGTTGAAGGAGCTTGAGAGCATGTATGATTATCTGGCCAAAGTGATCCTGCTTGGGCCAAGCGGTGCCGGGAAGTATGTCTCGCTGTTGATAACCTCCCCAAGTCTCTTTTACTACTGTTGCTCACATGTTACGGCTCACCGCAGGTCATGTGTACTACATCGATTCGTGAAAGACGAATGTACGGCTCCGATCCCTGACTGAGCCTGATCCTATCCCTCGCTCCCCCTGAGCTGGATAGCCGGCTCGCTAATACACCATGCGACTGTAGGGAGAGTGTTGTCATCACAAACGATCGGGGTCGAATTCTCCTCAAAAATAGTCAGGCTTGGATCCGGTCCCCGAAAAACAAGGATTAAATTGCAGCTTTGGGACACCGCGGGCACAGAGAGATTTCGTTCCGTCTCAAGATCGTACTATCGCGGAGCTGCAGGCGCTATCCTGATCTACGATATATCTTCGCAAGCTTCATTCGCAGCGCTTCCTACCTTTTTAATGGATGCACGTGCTCTTGCATCTCCCAATCTCACTGTTCTACTGGCCGGGAATAAGGCGGATCTTGCGTCCGACTCCGTGACCCATGGCGATTTCGCAGATGACAGCATGAGAGCCCCTCCTACTCCTTCCAGCACTAGCAGCAAGCAGTCATCATTCCCAATCGACTCAGTCCCCGGTTCTGTTCGATCTACAAGCCATTTGGGTACTGGAACAAGACTCACGGCGACATATGCGTTTGAAGGTCGTCAAGTGAGCGCCGAAGAGTCAGCACACTGGGCTGCCAAGGCGAATATTCCTGTTGCTGTCGAGGTGTCGGCTCTTACCGGAGAGGGCGTGGAAGAATTGTTCAACCGATTGGCACGAATTATCCTTACCAAAATTGAGCTAGGGGAGATTGATCCCGACGATCCTCAAAGTGGCATTCAATATGGAGACGGCGGACTTTATGGCCAGGGCACCAGCGATGGGTCAAGTATTCGAAGTCGAATGACAGTCGATGATACTTCCGTGCAACTGCATCGCAGGAATCCAAAAAGGCGGGGCGGCAGTAGGGGAGTGAATAACTGGAGAAGCAACATGGGAGAATGGGAAGAGGTCTTTCGCCTCAGCGGCTCGCACCAAAAGAAGGGTAGGGGATGCTGTTGACCCTTACGAGCGGTTAAACCTCTGGCACGTGTGGATTGTTGGGCATGCCATGCCCTTCGCTCGCTTGCATCAAGTCAGGCAGTGCTCTTACCTTAGGCCTTCTCCTCTGGAAGGTCTGCACATCGGAATTCATTTACCCCATATACAACATAACGGAGGCCTGCATTTGTCTTATCCATTCTGTCTGGTTGCTTATTCCGTACGCACACTCCCTAGATACCTTACGTCGTCCTCTTTGCCTCGGAGTTAGGTTCCATTTCTACTCGATTGTTTCATGAACAATGGGACTCGGTAACTCTGGCTTCTCCCTTCTTTTCTTTCTATTAACCCTTTTCTTTTACGCTGTGCGATCCCCTAATCCCTCTCATCGGTCCTCTGATAGGGCTCTACTTGCTATCGTGGCTAATCAGCGAATACCTCATTATGCGTGAAACGGCCTATAGCTCTGTCACTTGCCAGCGGCTGGAATTTTGCCTGTCCTGCGTTGCGTGACCAGTAAAATTCGTGGTTGACTTGAGTTGGGCTCAGATATACAGCTATTATTGTTTCATTCCAAATATTAGACACCAGAGCGGCTACCACGTCTTCTTCGTCTCCTGGTCCCAAAGGAGGCAGAGGCCGAAATGGCGCCGGACCACTGGTTCGAATTACACATTTTCGAAAGTCATATGATCATCGGGGGTGGTCGTCTCAATCTTGGATCCCGGAAATAAGTGTTTTGATGCCTTTCCCCGCCTTGACTTCCTTAAATGCCTGTTCAGCGTCATAGAACTCGACCACGCCAGTGATAAGATCCTTCACATTGACTTTACCGGACGCGACCAGGTCGACCGCGAGCTTATAGTCACCACTGCCATACCGAAAGCTACCTTTGACAGTCAACTCCTTCGTGCAGGCCGCCATGATTGGAAACATGATTTCGCTCCGGCCCATGCCACCTTGCACGTATGTGCCACCGGGGCGCAGAACATGAATTCCGGTGTGGACGGACGGTTCAGCCCCTGAGGCGTCGATAACCACATCTGCACCAACTCCTAGGTTGTTCTCTTTTCTCAGTCGCTCCGCGTTGTCGACCGCGCTTACTTTGGCGGGCTCGAAAGTCGATGTAGCCGCATATTTCTTGGCAAATTCCAGTCTCGCCTTTTGTATGTCCACGGCGATGATTTTAGCGGCGCCGAAAGCTTTTGCGACGGCACAGCACAAAAGCCCGACGGGCCCGGCTCCGAAAACGATCACGGACTGACCGGGGGTGACGCTTGCTTGTCTCACGATGTGAACAGCGACGCCTAGAGGCTCCATGAGAGCCCCCTCCTGTAAGGTGATGCTGTCGGGAAGTTTGTAGCAGAAGTCCTCGGGAAGTACATAGAACTTGGCTAAGGTGCCATCGTATGGTGGAGTCGCTGCGAAGGCCATTTTCTCACAGAGGTTGTATTTCCCAGCCTTGCAAGGTTCGCATCTACGGCATGGAATTCCTGGCTCCATGGCAACATGATCTCCCACTTTCAAGCCTGTGACAGCTGAGCCAACCTTGCTGATGACTCCGGATGACTCATGCCCTAAGACCATAGGATCCTTCACAACAAACTGGCCGATCGAACCATGTTCCCAATAGTGGACCTGAATACAACCGATGCGAAACTGTCAGCCTGATCAACGATCCCGGGGGACAGGTGGATATAGAGTGTTAGGCTGAATGCGCCGATACGTACATCGCTGCCACAGATACCAGTGAATTTGACGTTCACCAGTACATCGTGAGGGTCTTTTAGTTCCGGAATAGGTCGATCTTCGAATTTGACCTGGTGAATACCTTCGAGGACAAAGGACAGATTCTATTTCGATAAGATGTTAACCTTATTGCTTCTTTCCTCTTCTCCGTGCTCCTATTGGCTTTCATAGTTGGTGATGACACCAGAGAAACGGACACACCTGGGCAGTTGCTGTTGATGTACTCATTTTGTATCGCTTTTGTCTGTGCTCAAGATTCGCTGTGTATTCTTCTTTCTTATCATTCCTTTATTTATATAGGAGATCTGAGCCGTTTTCTGAGAAGGTCGGCGGTCTGAAGAAGGTACACGGAGGTAAACTGAAAGGAGAGACGGAGGAAGAGAAGGAGGGTTGCTTGCTACTGTTATACTCGACAGGATAAAAGAGAGGGGGGCGTGTGGAGAAGGAAAGCTTACCCAAATTATCCAGACCAGAACTTATGAATTGGAGCAGCGAGCTTTTAAGAGGGACATCTATCTAGATAGTGGATAATATAACGACTTGAATTGAATATCTCCGCTCCCCGCCAAGTTGTCTGGTCACACTGGTGGGGGTGTCATCAGTCGGGTTGGGCGAGATCCTTTTAGTTTGTAGGTGTTGGAAATTACCCGTGTGGTACCTCCTATTTAGCCGGTGAAGCTGGTAGAAAGAAGGTTAAAAAGGGAGAAAATAATGGTCTCTTAGATTCAGCTTCTGATCCCACTTATCACTCTCAATGTTTAAGACTACCCTGTATGAGGAGATGGCAATATGATGTACTCATGGCAACTGCTTCTTAGGTGGGCTATGACATCAGTTTGACACCAACTACATCCCAAGAGTAGCCATATGAATACTAGGTGGCATGAGATGAGACTCATCTCAAGAGTCTGTTCCTGCTTGACCATCTCTCTTCTCATCTCCTCTCAATGGTTCCCATATTTACTGTTCCCGTGACCATCATCGCCAGACGGGTAAATAAGTTAGCGTTGTGGAGATGAAGTCTAACTGAAAAATGTGTCTATTTACACCCACATTTCTTTGATATTAAGGAATGGCTTGACTATGCAGTGGGACATTTTATGAGCAACTCATAACATAGCTATAAAAATGCAAACTCTCACACACAAAGAATAAAAAGTAAAAAGTAAAAAGAAAGCAAGAAAGAAAGAAATTTTCAAGGTTGAGCAATGAGTGTCATGCCTTAAGAGGATCACTCATTCGTCGTATGCTACTTCCAGTCGTCAGTGAAGCAAGCAACCCAGTATTTATTAGTGTATGCGGAATAAGAGAGATAATTAAATTCTCTCTGTGTTTTGTCTTGCCCTTCTTTTGACAAAATATTATCTGGTCCACGTAAAGATATAAGATAGGTCTTATGAAGTCACTTGTAGCTTGAACCATGTCAATGCCTTATCAATACCTAGGTAAATAATCACAACACTAATACCCTCTACGGAGTAGGATTCCCGGGACTGACCAATGGAGACGGCTTATTAAGCCAGATATTCCGTTAGAGAGCCTGCTGAGGAGAAAGTATCCGCCATTAACGGAGTATCGCCGACCTGACGGACAAAACAAACGCCTTTCGATCTGAATTCCCTGGAGGTTGGGTCGAGCTATTTGCCATCCTTGATTTATATTTGATTCGCCATCACTATGGTCGGATCTAATGTCCTCGTCCAACCCTGGAGGAACGCGGTTTTCCACGCTGTTCGGCCGAGAACGACCATACCTACGTACCAGTACCGATACTTCAGGGCAACTGCTCGAATCTCTGCCAACGATAAGTCGCAGTCCTTCAAGAATCAGCTGTATGAGAGTACGCAGCAGCGGTTGAAGCGGGAGCGCGCTGAGCAGGAACGATTTTCTCAATATCAGACTCAGTCACCAGGTGGTCGCTATGCGGCTTTGATGTTCGGTATGCGATCCGCTCAGGGATACGTGCCATGGGTACTTTAACCCGTCTTTTCTCTTCAATATGGTTCTAATTCTCATCGTAATAGCATTGGTCTTCTTCTCTACTGGTGCATATTACCTAGGATCTTTGAAGCCGGCTAGTCTTCCAACGTCGTCAACCACCACCCTCTTCGATATCGAGCCGCCGATCCACAATATCTCACAGGCAAATTTACAAGCCGCTTGGGCGGACTTTGTTGAGATTCTAGGAAAGGAAAATGTATCCACGCAACATGGTGATCTCGATGTACATTCCGGTTCTGATTGGTCTTCGTACACACTCAAAGAGGATGAAAGGCCTTTCCTTGTCCTCTATCCAGCAACCACCGAGGAGGTTTCCCGAATTATGAAAGTCTGCCATCAACGGGTCATTCCTGTGACGCCCTACTCCGGTGGTACCAGTCTGGAGGGGCATTTTGCTCCCACGAGAGGAGGGGTGTGTATCGATTTCGGCCGCATGGATCGTATCCTGGAGCTCCACAAAAAGGATCTCGACGTTGTGGTCCAGCCTGCAGTTGGGTGGGAAGATCTTAATGAGGAATTGTCTAAAGAAGGTCTCTTTTTTCCACCTGACCCGGGTCCCGGCGCTATGATTGGCGGTATGGTCGGCACTGGCTGTTCGGGGACCAATGCTTACAGATACGGCACAATGCGAGAATGGGTTCTTTCTCTGACGGTTGTCCTTGCAGATGGCACTATTATCAAAACAAGACAACGTCCGCGGAAATCGAGCGCAGGCTATGATCTCACCAGGCTGTTCATTGGGAGCGAAGGAACTCTCGGGCTTGTGACGGAGGCTACGTTGAAACTGACTGTCAAGCCCAAGAGCCAAAGCGTTGCCGTTGCTAGCTTCCCATCCATTCACAACGCCGCAGAGTGCGTGACCCGCGTGGTGGAAGAAGGTGTCCCAGTTGCGGGGGTTGAGATCCTTGATGATGTCCAAATGAAATGCATCAACGATAGTCGGACGACTCGTCGACAGTGGAAGGAGTCACCTACTCTCTTCTTCAAATTCACAGGGACCCCCGTGGGTGTCAAAGAACAAATTGAGCTTGTTCGGAAAATCGTCTCTAGTAGCGCAGGACAATCATTTGAATTCGCTCGAGGGGAAGATGAAATGAAAGAGCTTTGGAGTGCTCGGAAAGAGGCTCTGTGGAGTGTGATGTCCATGAGGCGAGGTCCGGAGGACCGCGTCTGGACAACCGATGTGGCAGTGCCGATGAGCAAGCTGCCCGACATAATCGAGGCAACGAAGCAGGATATGACGGAAAGCGGATTGTTGGCCGGAATTTGCG